CTGTCACCTCCAAGCTCGTCCTCGTCGCCCCCACCGCTCCCAAGAAGTGCCAACCCTTTGCCGCCCCGTCAGTGGTCCATCGCGGGAAGTGTCACTGTCCAACTGTCGTAGCGCGCATCATCTCCACTCGCGACGGAGGACTCCTGTACGAAGTACCCAGGTACCTCTCTCTAACTCGAGTAGCATCCCAGGACCCCAGCACGCGGTGGCAGTGACTTTGGCTGGCGATAGTGGAGCCACTGCAACCTCGATTCAGAGCGGTCTCCACCTCGCGTTTATTTTCCGCCCACCTTTGGTCAACGGCCACGGTTAAAGGGCCCTCTGCTCCACTTAACACCTCGAATTCTCCATCTTGAGCCTCAACCTGCACTGCACGCCTTCTTTGCTTTTCTTCCTCGTCGATTTTTTTTTTGCCGTGGTTGCGCTTTTGTGTGCCATCTCCATTTTGATACTGGCAGTGTGCCCTCCGCAAGCTCTCGCCCACCTTCACCTCGACTTCAGCTCCCCCTCGGCCTATCAGCGCTCCTAGGAGACCCAGTCATCACCTCGAAGGAACATCTAGCTCTCGCCCCCGGCACGACTCTCACTGCCACTGCGACGGTCGTCTCCCTGGACGCTGCATCTGCTTTCGGCTCTGGTTCAGACGCGGAGAAAAAAGAAGAAAAAAATCCATTGTGGGACGAACGGCGGATCATCAATTGACGTTGCAAAAAGCCTTCAGCTTCGCGCAACCACCAGACCAGTGACGTGAGGAATTAGTGTTGAGGGTTTGCATGGTAATCAACACACATCGATTACCTGACCGTCCTTTTTTCTTCTCAAATGGACGCCTCCCAATACCATGCGAATGGTCTAAGCAACAACAACAACAACAACACCAGCAATCCTCAACAGTACTCGTCGCTGCCCGGAATTGCCCCCCACCAGCTCCAGCACAACTCCAACCTTCCCACACACACGCTGCCTCCACTGCAAAACTCGCAACACGCGATGCAATCCATCTACGGGAGCGCTCCTCACACTCCGAGAACCCCCACTACCACTCCAGGTACCCCAGGTTCTGCGAACAATATGGGTGGGAACTTTCCTCAGATGGGAGGGCAACAGCAGCAGCAACGAGGTTATCAGATGATGCCTGGTAACAACTACCAGCAGCAACATCAACAACAGCAGCAGCACCAGCAACAGCAACAATACCGCTCTTCCGGTCCGATGATGCCCCAATCCTCCACCGCAATGTCTCATCCACAACCGATTGCGCCTGCTCCGATTCAAAACCGCGGGCCACAAACCCTGCGACCAATGCCACCAAACGGGCTGCAACAAATGCATGGGATGTCATCAGCATATGGCCAAGGTACCATGATGCTTCAAGATTTGGAGCCGCCAACCCATGTGGTAGGTTCCCAAGGCCGAAGAGGTATCCTCCCAAGTGCCCCAGGTAGACCACCTCCGGCAGCAACCGGAACTGGCTCCACCAAAAATACCATGATTCCCGCCAAAGATGCGGATGGCAAATTTCCCTGTCCTCATTGCACCAAAACCTACCTCCATGCCAAGCATCTAAAGCGCCATCTTCTGAGACGTAAGTCCTCCTCAGAGCTCCTTCCCCTACAATCCTAACTTTAGGGGCAGACACGGGTGATCGACCATACATGTGCGTGCTGTGTAGGGACACCTTTTCCAGAAGTGACATTCTGAAGCGCCATTTCCAAAAATGCTCTATCCGTCGCGGAAACCCTACCGGAGCAAGTCATTTGTCCCATGCGCAAGCCCATCTGAAAAAGTCACACCCAGGACCACACAAAGCCCAAGGCTCGATGGGTAATGAGAATGACATGATGGGCGTCAACGGCATGAACAACAATGGCATGGGAAACATGGGCAATGACCCTTCCCTCCATCCTTTTGGGGTAATTCCTGATGGCAGTGTCCCTAATGCTGGGTCAAACTTAACCGATGAGCAAGCAGGTAAACTCGCACGATCGAACGGAATGAACAATATGGGTGGTGGAATTGATAGAAGAAGCATGACCGGGGCTCCCGGGGGCTCGAACCGTCCTAGCTTTGAACAACAAGGCTATGCAGCGAGTGCCATGCCGACTGGTATGAATCCTCCATTCAATATGCCCAACGGACAGAATGGTCACTCATATAGCCAGGGCTATGATTTCGCCTCCCATGGCAACGGCTCCAGCATGCAGCCCCAATCCTCCGTGGACATGTCGAATCTACAAAGCGGCCGAAACGTTTACCAGGGCGCCACCGCTGGCCAGCAGCATGGCGACTGGTCCCAACAACTTTTTCCTAATCAAAACCAACACCAACAACAACAACAACAACAACAACAATCGCAAGGATACATGAATCCATACACCTCCAACCTCCCGAATTCTCAAGTGCCGATCAAAGCAGAAGCTCTTGTGGCAGTCAAGTCGGAAAATCCAAGTCTCTTCAGTGGAGTCTATCCAGGCGCAAACGCTCTCTCGACCCCTTCCGATTTTCCCACATGGAATTTCCAGAATGATCCGCTCCAGGAGATCTCCAGCAGACTACTCTTCTTTTGCTTCCCAGATAATCAAGTCATTGGGCGCAGTACGGAGATTCGTAGCTATCTGTCATCGGACAATATAAAACATTTCTTGGAGCAGTATTCCAATTTCCAAGGCCATTTCCCCCTCATCCACATGCCTACCTTTCGAATTGCCGAAGCTTATGACGGGTTGCTCCTAGGAATGATTTGTGTTGGAGCCGTCTACTCTGACCGCATGCAACCTGGACAAGTGCGTGATATGATGGAATTTGTCAGAGCCGTTTTGGAACGCAACTCGTCAATTTTCGCAAGCATTTCTCAGGACTCCGGCGGCGACACTGGTTATGGCAAGGATGCCGCACCTGGCAAGACCGACCTTGAGCAACTTTTGGCCCTTGTGCTGATGCATATCCTCTTCGTTTGGCACGGCACACCAGTTCAACGCGAGAAGGCTCGAAGACAATTTCCATTGATTGTCGCGCTTGGAAGAAAGGCTGGATTGACGACGCCTATCACCACTGCTTCGCCTACATCCTCTTGCAGCGCTCTTCATCAACGACACGTCAAGGTTGAGAACTTCAACTCCGCAAGCTTTGACTGGTCTGCGTGGGTCGAACAAGAGAAACGTTCCAGATTGATGTACGCTATCTACCTGACGGATTGCGCTATGGTCATCTACTTTAACGCCACCCCAATCTTTGAAGCACTTGAGGTTCGCATTCCTCTGCCTGCTGATGATGCCGCTTGGGATGCACGAACAGCGGTAGAATGTGCTGAAGCACTTGGTTTACATGGTCCTGTGGTTGCCCGCAATAAAAATCAAGAAGGAAGTCGTCGACCCAAACAGCCCGAGATGCACAGCGCACTTGAGACCTTGATGCGTCAAGATCTCGACCTACAACCGGGAACCACAAACTTGTACTCCAAGTTCATCCTTATCCATGCTCTTCAAGTGCAACTTTGGATCAGCCAAAAGCAACTATCTCAGGCTCAAATGAACCCTCACAACCTAGGGTTTCCGGCAAGTGGTTCCAGCACTCCTTTATCGCAGAATGATTGGGTGGTTAGAGGGATTGAGGGTGCAGCCAGTGGTACAAGCAGTGGTCGGGCAACCCCAGACGCAGGCAGTTCCTCACCTCAACAACTCGCGAAGGATATCAGCATTGCTTTCGAAAAGTGGAAGAAGGTTTGGGACGAGGACATGGTCGTCCAATATCCACCATCGTCGACCAGCTATCGCCGCTTTGGTTTCTGTCGCGATGGGGTCCACTTCTACTGGCTAGGAAAATATCTGATGAAGAACAATCGGGGCACGGAATGGCAGATGGCCCCAGATCAACGGTTCAGTCAAATCATACACCTGCTGAAATTTGTTAAAGGATGGGTTCATTCGGATAGTGCCAAGCGGGGAGAGGAACTTGGCTCAATCAACGATATTGATAGTGACTTTGGAGTCAGAGACTTGACGCTGGATATGTCTCAACTCTTCAAGTCGATCAACAAACAGGTCGATTCTCCCGTCATGGGTGTACATACTGGAGGAAATACGGGAACATAAAAGTTACGAAATCGGCCGCGATACGTTTAGAGGAAAAATTACCCTGTGGGGTGGCATTGCGTTGGCGTTATATCCTTCCCTCGACCTTTCGATCTCTCCTCTCACCACTAATGGTTTCGATGGCCTTCAGGGAGAAGGAATTTCCACAAAGTTTTCGATTTGTCCTTTTTTCATTGGTTGGTAGATCATATTGCATTCCATGGGCTCTTCTTGCATTTCTTGCTGGGGAGGCAGGTGTTTTGATCTTTTCATTACTTGCGAATTATAGCATATCACAAATGTTGTTGATGGGAATGGTACATATATCTTTCTCTTTTTATTTTTGTGGACGCGGTCTCTTGACGCACCCAAAAACGATTCGGGGATTTTTCAAAGTTGGCGCTGCATTAGAATGGGACTTGACGGGCTTTTGCATTTGATGGTGGGGGGGGTGTTTGCTGATTTTTTTTGCTGGGCTGAGTTTGTTGCTGTGGGATGGGATGGAATGAGAATGAGCACGAGACGACAAGACGAAAACGAACTTTGCAACTTTTGATGGCTTTCATGGGATGGATGTGGATGGATGCGTCTGGGGGGAAGAGGGATCCTTTCTCATGGATGGATTCCTTGGGGGGTTTTTTTTGATTTAGACGCGTTCACCTTCCTTCTTAAAGATAGATGATGAATGAAGAATTTATAGCATTATTATAGAGGTGTGTTTTATTTTGATGCTTTTTTTATACATATATACGATATAGGTGAGCCATTGGGAACTTGGTTTTTGGTGTATTGTATTATAATCAATCTGTAGAACGATTGATGGGGGATTGTTTGTTGAAAGATTACCCATTTAGATAGATTGAAGGAGTATGATACGGTAGGATGTAGACTTTGATAGTTAGGTATGTAGGATGGACTATATGGATGGAATTGATGTAATTCATATATCTGATGGATTTTTCTGGATGTGAGGGGATTGTTGATTTGGTTATAGTTTTACGGTCTAGTACAGTACAGTACAGTACAGTACATAGAGTAGTAGTACAATATACCTAATTTATGGGGTTCCTGCTGCCTGCTATATATTACCTGCTGCGCTGCTTTCGTTTGGTCCAGTTTGTTTTGTTCTTCTGTGAGGATTTTTGTATGGATTTTTGGGTTGGGTGATGGTTGGTGGGTGGGTTGGTTTGTGTGTGTGTGTGCTGTCAACTGATGCATGTATCCATTGAGAAATAACCTCATTGTTTTTTTTTTTGTTCGTAGGGTACTTGATCTCTCTCTGCCTCTTACTTCACCCGCTGCTCCTTTCTTTGGCCGTTGGGTGAGGGGGTTATATGAGGGAGGGGTTTGGTGGGTGTTCTCGTTGTGTCATGTGCGTGTCTCTTCTCTTTGATTGATTGAAGGGGGATCTAGATTTAGATCTGGATTTGGGGGTTCGGGTAGGCGGTTGGATGTGGTGTCGTAGGGAGGTGCTTAAGAGGGAGCAGGGCAGGAGGGAAGGGGATGTTGACAGAGTGGTTTGCTGTTGAGTCGAGTCTGTCTTGGTTGCTTTCCGAGTTTTTTTTTCCATGGTCTATCGCCCTTCGTGGTCGTGCCAGAAACGTCTCCTCTTCCTCCTCTTTCTTCTCTTCTCTCGTCGCCCTCTGGTTCCCTGCTCGAGATCCTTCTTCTTGATCCTCCCCTTCCCCCCCCTCACACCTCCCATCACCCCACCCCCTCCCATCACCTCACCCCCTTCCGCCCCTCCCTCTCAACAACACTAATCCTCGGCATCATCCCCTCCAACTCCTCCTTCTCCCTCGCACTAGCTTCGAACCCCAATTTCCTCTCCGCGCTCTCCGAGAGGTATAGTCCCAATGTGCCCCAGGTGAGAAAAGCGCCCCCGATGCTGGCGCGTTGGAGGGGGGGGAGGGTGCGGAATTTTCTGTGCGTTGGTGTGAGGAAGGGGTTTTGTTGGTGGGTGAGATGGGGAGAGGGGGTTTGTGGGTAGGGAGGGTANGGTACAGCAGGCTGGCGCGTTGGAGGGGGGGGAGGGTGCGGAATTTTCTGTGCGTTGGTGTGAGGAAGGGGTTTTGTTGGTGGGTGAGATGGGGAGAGGGGGTTTGTGGGTAGGGAGGGTAGGGAGGGGAGGGAAGGCGTACTTTAGGAGGGACATTTTTTGGTACATGGGTTGTGGTATTGTGGTTATAGGAAGAGAGGGTGGTGGGGTGGTGTTGGTGGGATGGAATAGGATGTCGTTGCGTTGGGGAGCTTGAGCTTAGGTAGGGGGTAAGCTTGCTTACCAGCTGTTGGAGCCGAGGTATGGTATAGTGGAGTGAGTGGTGTGGTGGGGGTCTCAACGGGAGTTCATCTAGATTCTTCGCGATTGATGTGCGGACAAGATGGATATAGATATGGTATAATTGAATAGGCTTATGTAGGCTTGGATTTGAACTTCTGCCACTGGCACTGTTATGGTTCCCTGGGATATCTTTTGTGTCTATTTAGTTTGTTTCTGCTTAATTGGAAACTGTTGAGCTCTCTGTACTCGAGTACGAGCTTACAGTGTTCGGAGTTCGGATTTAAGAAGAGGGGCATAAGTGAGTTTGGTCGTGGGAGGACGTCATGTCAACTCACATCATCGTTTCGAATGGAAAGCCAGACACGGGAGAATAGGAACTGTTATTTACCTTCTCCGCCGATATTATAGCTTAGGGTTCATCCTCATCTACGAAGTATCTAGAATTTCGATCAGCTTGATACTTAAAATCCAAGCACCCCTACCTTCCAACCAACACCAACACCACCCCTCAAAAACAAAAAAAATGGAAACCCTCCCCACTGAACTCCGCCAAGAAATCATCCACCACCTCTCCATCCCCGACCTCAAATCCCTCCGTCTCGTCTCGAGAATCTGGGCCCGTCTAGGCTCAGACCACCTCCTCAGCCCAACATTCACACACGTCCCCCACCAGCCCTCCCTCTCCCATCTCACATCCATCTCCCAACACCCCGTCTACAGCCACAAGATCCGCACCATCCGCTTCAACCACGGAGAAGTGAATGAATACCATGCGCGTCATAATACGTACTTCCTCAACTTCCTGCTCGAGCCGGATGAAAGGAGTGCGGTGATGGGACGCGCGTGGGAGGGGTATCTTGGAGTGAAGGAGTTGATTGGTCGGTATTTTGGGGGGAGTTGTGGGAGGGAGGTGCTAGAAGGGGTTTTTGGGAGACTGGGGAGTTTGGAGGGGGTGGAGGTGTGTTTGATGGGGTGGCCGTATGGCGGGGTGGAGGGGATGGATGTTCTGGAGGGGNGGAGTTGTGGGAGGGAGGTGCTAGAAGGGGTTTTTGGGAGACTGGGGAGTTTGGAGGGGGTGGAGGTGTGTTTGATGGGGTGGCCGTATGGCGGGGTGGAGGGGATGGATGTTCTGGAGGGGATTTGGAGGATTCCTTCTACGAGGGCGCTTCCGAGAGCGGAGACGGTGGAGAGGTTCAAGGATATTTTGAAGGCGTTGGGGAGTAGTGGGAGGGGGGAGGGATTGAGGAGGCTGGCGCATGATCGGTTGCCTTTTGAGTTTTTTACGCAGGATACGGGGTTTCTTGAGGGGATTGAGGGGGTTTTGGGGGGGTTGGTGAGTTTGGAAATGACGGTTGTGGAGGATGAGAAGAATAAGAGTGAGGGGCTTTATGTGAAGGGGTGTCGGAATTTGGCGGGGGTGTTGAGAAAGGCGAGGAGTGTGGAGNGGGGGTTGGTGAGTTTGGAAATGACGGTTGTGGAGGATGAGAAGAATAAGAGTGAGGGGCTTTATGTGAAGGGGTGTCGGAATTTGGCGGGGGTGTTGAGAAAGGCGAGGAGTGTGGAGGAGTTGAAATTGGGGTTTCAGGGGAGGACGAAGAAGAGTATTCATCTTATTCTGGAAGCTTTTCAGCAAGATGAATTTACCTTCCGACACTTGAGGAAGGTATCTTTTCAGTACTGCACGACTACTTCGAAGGACCTATTCGATTTCCTGGTCAGACATAAGGGGAGCTTGAAGGAAGTGCAACTTGGAGGTGAGGGATTGAGAACTCATCGGCGTCCGAATGGTGGTGTTCATCTAGAGGATGGGAGTATCAAGGATTTATTTGAGAGGCTGAAGGCAGAGATGCCAGCGTGTGAGATGTGGGTTATTGGGGATTTGATTGGGGTGGAAAGTGGTGAGCGGTGGCTGTTGGAGGATAGAACGAGGATTGAGGAGTTAAGTGAGTATGTTATTGACTGACCTTTTTATTTCTGGCATATTTACCCTGAGTTGGTAAGGGGCTTTGGGCTTGGTTCTTGGTGTGAAGTTGGATAGAAGCTGACCTTGGGCCTTGAAGGGAACGAGGTTGGTTTAGGAGTAATACCCCAGAGAATAATGGCAATGTTCTTTTGTGAACATGACACCAAGACCCTTGCATTAGCAGGTGTTATGAGAATTGGGATGAACCGATTTGCCTCACTCGAGCTATTTTGCAGTTTTACACTGAGACGCTATTCTAAGGAGCTTCCGAAGCTCTGTATAATTACGGATCGTCATTTTTTCTTCTTCGCTTGATTACCTCACTCTGAAGGGGAATTCTCAGGTGGCAGAGTTTAACCTCGATACTGTACTCTCTTGTAACACAAGATTTAAACTACTAATACCTACTCAAATAAATTATAATCATTCGCTGTGTATTGGTTGCCTACCTATCCTGGTACCACACCGAGGTCATTGAAAGATCTAGAAGTGGGGCCTCAAGTTAAACGTTCGCTTGAATCGCTTCGCTTAACAGGGAAGGTCAACCGTCGAAGGAGAAGAAGAATAAAATAGTATGAAGACAAAACCCATTAATCACTTTCTCAATCTAGCTAGCATTACAAAAGATATCTCCCCGTCCGTCCCAGAGCCTACATAACAAGCGACAATAGCAGAGTTGTGAAGAAAGAAAATCCAGGTCATAGAGATTGATACTCGGTTGAAGATACCTCTTCCTCTTCCTCTTCCTCGTCATCCTCTTCACCCTCCATATTCTCATCCTCGCCCACAGCCTCATCCGCCGTCACCATCTCATCATCAGGATCCAAGTCAACCACAATCGGTTCATCAGTGTCTGTTTCTCCACCACTTGGGACGACATAGATCTTCTCCCTCGTCACACTAGGTCTCGTCACGGAAGCCGATGATCTTTTCATCGCAGCTGAATATCCCTTCGCCGGGGAATACGCACTTCCTTCCGTTTCTTCCGGCTTCCACGGCGCCAGAACATCTTCCTCCCAATTCCCCAATCGACTCTTGGTTCCCAGCCCGATATTCCTTCTCTTGAGTCCGCTGACGAAATCCCTCATGTGACTCTTCCGCTTCTTACGATCTTCCTCCTCCGCCAACATATCCAACAACTCACCTCGCGTGGACTTCCCACCCCTCAAACGCTTCTCAAGCAGATCCTCGTAATCCTCCATCTGCTCAAGCAGAGCCGAAGCAGCCATTGCCGACCCTGTCTGCGCCTTTAAATTCCCGTTGTCGGGCTGCATGGCCTGGTCTAAGAGCGTGGCGGACGTTTGGATGTGTGCGAATCGCTCTTGCAGCGTGAGTTTCGTGTTGAGCGGCGGGATTTGTTCGGAGTTGTAGCGAGCGTGGACGAGTTCTTCCTTGCGCTGGTTGGCGGTGAGGCGGTGGAGGGCTTGGGGACGGTTCCAGAGGGTGGGTTGGGTGTTCCCTTTGAGTTTTTGGTCCATGATGTAGCGAGGGACGGGTTCGTCGACTTCGCAGATGAGGATCTTGTTTAGGACTCCGTCTCTTTCTTCCAAGGCGACACTGAGGGGGTCAGAGTCTTTAAGTGGACGAGGTCCGCCGTTGAAATTGCGCAGAACGAGGTTGCAATCCGCAGGGAAATGACCTGTGGTATAGAGTGTGCTCTTGAGAGCGTGAACAGAAGTCTGTCGTGGATCCACTTGGAAGACGTACATCTCCTCGCCAGGGCTTCGCCAACGATCCCGGAGGTCTTTCAAGAGCGGTCGATAACGCGGATACCCGTATTTCGTCTCGTACTCCCAGGCGTAGTAGCGTTCTACCCATGCCGCATAGTCGCCCCAGGTCGGGAGCTTGTTCCTCGTCAAATACTCGCGCAGGTCTTCCACGCTCCATGAGGGCATGGAGCGGTTGGGATCCGTATGAATACCCATCGATAGCGCCCACAGCGCGTTTTCGACCCTCTCCTTGCTACCCAGTCGCATCTTGAGCGTCTCGAAGTACACGCTTTGCTTGTTTTGGTACCAGTACCGGATCGTGTTTTCCATATGCGCTTTCTCGTCTTCTCCTTCCTCGTAGGGGTTCTCGTTGCGAATGTCTTCTGGAATTCGCGCGTACATGGATTTCACGTTCCAATATGCCAGGACTTTGCTTCTCGCGATATCGACAATGCGGCCGCAGCACCAGGATGAGACGATCTTCTCGTCGATGGTTAGGGAGGGCCGTTTCTCATAGTGCCTGACCAGTTTGACAAGGAGGAAAAACTCGATTCGAGCGAGTGTGATGCTGTCTTTCTCAAGTGAGAGTTTCTGGTCCTGTAGCCATTTCTCGGGTGGGATTTGGAAGGCACCCAGACGACGGATCTTGACGAATTCCAGTGCCTGGGCACGAGTAAAGCGGTTCAAGATGTTACGGTGTGTTGTGGTATCTATGACAGCCTTTACATCCTCCAGGCTATGTCCATCTAGCGGAGCTTCCAGTCCGTATTTCCAGCGTTCGTAGGCATTGTAGATTGTTGATTTGTCTGTGAGGCCAGACGGATGGTTCTCAGGGAGAGACCAGAATCTCACTTCGATCGTCTCGGTTTGCTGGATCTGGGGCGGTTTCTCCGGATCATAAAACGCTCTCACTTCTCCCTCATATGTCGTATCCTCTTTGTAAAGAGTCACGTCAATGTCCGGGAGAATAACCCCATCGTTGATGCGCGCTCGATTCCTCATCCATTGTGGATCTTCGATGCCAGCCGCAACCACGTTCTCCATCCTGGCTTCTTCTTCCTCCTTCATTTCCAATCGCGCCAACTGCTTCTCGGCTTTCGTGAGGAGAACCCTCAGCGAGTCGGGTCGGGGAGTTCTATCTCTCCCCTCGATCCTCCATACCGGGAGATTCTGAACCAATTCCCAGTCGCGGATGAACGCCGTTGCGGGCTTGGGTTTCCCGGTAATCATACCGGGGCGTATCTTAAGTTTTGCCTTCTGGGCGAAATTCCCCTCCCTCACGCCCCCCAAGTCGCTCCAGAACTTTTGCGAGAGCATGTCTTCGAGATACTTGCTGGTCATAGACCAATACGTCACGTAATGAGGACGATTCCCGGGTCCAAGCTTTGCCAGATCCCCCAGGGTCTTTTCCTTTCGCCAGATGAGCGGTCGTAGGAAGGGGTTGCTCAGTTTGTCCGTGGCAATGGTGTTAGGCGTATGCCCGCTGAACATCCACGAAATGAACGCCGTTCCCAACTCGGCTACACACATATCCCCTACATAGGGCTCGCCATCGGGCAAGGCGATGTTGGTAAAGCGACAGTTCCAGATGAAATGTCCAATCTCGTGGACCATGGTGATGGCCGCGTGCCAGATGGCTCGGATATGTTGCTCGCTATCGTCCCGCGTTCCCGAAAGATATTCAATATACTGTGACGCAATTCCAATCGTGATACGTCGCAAGGGACTCGGATTCTCCTCCTGCTGCGCTTGGCGATCATGGTCGATGATCTCCTCCCACGTCTCGTGGTGCCACGGTTGGCGCTGGTCGGTGAGGATATTCATCCCCCAAGCATTCATGGTGTGGAACATATCCGCGTTCAGTTCCCAGGTCACGTTCTCGGCGAGGGCTTCGAGGAATTCGCCGGCCTTTCTCGTGTTGCCGTCCTCTTGCAGGTCGATTTCATCGTAGGGTCCGTTTTTCACTTTTTCGTATTGCTCGCTCGGGAGGAAGTTGGCGATGTATGGGAGGCCGACTTCTAGGAGGTTGCTTGCTAGATGCATGGATGGGAGGAGGAGGTCGTAGTCTAGTTTGTTATAGTATCTCCACCGTTCTGGTTTGAAGAGGGGGTGAAGTGGGCCTGTGAGATCGGGTTTACGCGCTTTGCCGGTGTCTGGTGGAAAGTATTAGTGCTGTGAAAATTGAAAGGATATTGGGAGTGGTGCTCACTCAAGGCTCCAGCTATCTGAAGTTCGAGGTCGCTCCATTCTTTTGGTGGCATCTTGTCAGCTTCGAGATTTTATCCTCACGTTAAGAAGAATGGTGAGGTGAATTGCAAGAGCTGGTGACAGGATCACTGACAACCAATGCGAAGGGGAAAATGCGACGAATTGAAGAGAGTGTCAGGGCAGCATTCCTACTGTCAAAACAATATCCTGACAAAGACCTTGGAATGTTGTGGTATGCCCGAAATGGGAGGAATGCACTAGCATCATTTGGGAAATGTCTCGCACCTTCACTCTAATTTCGAAATAAAAAGAAGGAAACACACTTATCTTAGGATTGATGGAGACCTAGAGGGTAAGTAACATTGCGTCCTCGCTAAAACAATCCCTGAATAGGGGCCAACCGAAAGACTTGTGTTGGTGGAACGTCTGAATAGAGTCTTTCGCTTGCACTTGCGCCGAGCGAGGAAGCACGGGCCATTGTAGTATTGTTCAAGGCATACAGTATGTAAAAGAATTGTCGAGATATTCTAACAAGCAAGAACAAACAATTTAAAACTTGACATAGTTTGGGGTCGCATTCGCGCAATTCCGCAAATGGCTTCGCCAAGCTCTTGTATTAGACATACCTTTAGAAACGGTAGTAGCGAAGTCAGTAATTGATGTACGCCCACTGCTAATTCGAATCCTCCAATAAACATTTCTTCATGTTATTAGGTGTAAATAAGAAACGTCCCTTCATCCCTTACGACATTCTCAACAACCAAAGCCAGTATTTGAAGCCATTCCCATCACCCTCGTCGTCGCTCTCACTGTCGAATCCTTACTTTCCTTATTGGCGCATCCCTACTAGTCAAATTGAGCACCTTTTCAGTCCAATACACCAGATTTTGGATATGTATTTGCTGTATTCGCGTTGGGTACGTATAAATGTTGGGATTGATCGCGGATTCTGTATGGTTAGAAGGACTCGTAAATTACACATGGTGGTGGGTGATAAAGTCGCCTGAGTACCTTTTCAGCACTCCGGCATGAAGCGTACCCACCTCCCTTATTACATTAGCAAAAATAAAGGCATTCAGGCAACCCAAAAAGCAGCCCAGTACATTCGAATTGCGCAATACAGAAAAGATTAAGCTCGAGGTAGTGAAGGAAAAGAGCCGTTATATCCGGCCCCGACGGCCCCCCATTTTTTCTTCAGGCCCAACCCCGGAAACATGTCGCCACCAGCCAACCCCAAGCATTCACAAGGTTGCACAAGCCTTTTATGCATATTTCCCACACACACAATCGCTACATAACCGTGCACAACGTCATACACACATGGTTTTTTACCTTTTAATCCCGGACTAGTCCCGCATCATTACTCATCATCACCCCGTGGATAAATCGGATTGACAACTATGTCCGAACGGCGGGGAGCGAATCAATGAGGGCCGCTGCCGGTGGAAGAACTAGCGGGGGCACCGGGGGGTGGGATAAAGAGTTGGGATGCCCACGGCTTGACGTTCTTTTTGAACTTTGGATTTGGATTCTTGTTTGGATATTGGTTTGGTCCCTTTCTCTACTGTGCCCCTTCCGCTACTGAGGTGCTTGCAGTTGTGAGGTCATAGTGAGCTAGCTGGTAGGGAATTGATATCACATATCTGGTAATTTTGATGTGTATTGCTCAGCTACTGTACCTCTCCCCTAAACAAAAGTCATATGTATTTCTTTGCAACAAACCCTCCTCCGAGGGAACAAACAAGCGAATATATTATGGCTTCAGAAACAGTCCTGCCAGAAAATGACACCAGCATCGGCACCAGCGGAAAAGATTCAACAGCCCACCAATCAGATCCCGAAAAAGCACTACCTCCAAAAATGGATGAATCAAATAACTCAGAATACATGAACAATCTGGAAAGACAGCATGTAAGTCTTTATATCCCCACATCTCAAACCTCTACCTTCCAACACCTCAACAGTCCCCTTCCATCCAAAGCATCTCCCAAAAATCCAACGAGATCCAACGAACAACAACAAAAACCAGTTTCCGAAGCGGCAAAAGTAAATTATCTCGGATAGCAACAAACCTCACTTCTCTCAGCAAGAAAGAAGGATTAGCACCCCAGCCTATACCTCTCATGGACCTCGACAAGGGACTTGTCGGGTGGGAATCTCAAGATGATCCTGAGATGCCTTTGAATTTTGCCGAGGGGAGAAAGTGGTTACTTATATCGTTGATTTCGATGAGTACTTTCATTTCACCACTTGCTTCTTCTATGTTTGCTGTAAGTACTATATATCCACCTATGTGTATGGGAGAGATGGATGGTCACTGATTGTTTCTGAAGCCTGGAGTTCCGTTTATGAATGCGGAGTTTCAGAATAGTGTTCTCTTGCTGGGCTCTTTGACCGTGAGTATCTATGTTCTGGGATATGCAGTTGGTCCATTGATTTTGGCTGTAAGTGCTTTGCATCCCTCCTCGCTTACGAATTCCGCAGGAGAAAAAATAACATAACTAACATCAATCATAGCCTCTATGCGAGATCTACGGTCGTCGTTTCGTCCTAACCGGAGCCAACACCTTCTTCTGCCTCTGGCAAATCGGCTGCGCTCTATCACCGAACCTAGGCTCCCTCATCATCTTCCGTTTCTTCGCTGGAGTCGGAGGCTCAGGATGTCTAACCATAGGAGGCGGCGTGATAGCCGACCTCTTTCACCCCGACCGCCGTGGACTGGCCATGTCCATCTACTCCGTCGGACCACTCCTCGGTCCTGTCATCGGTCCCGTCTGTGGGGGATTTATCGCCCAACGGGCAGGCTGGCGATGGGTCTTTTGGATTCTGCTCATAGCAGGAAGCGTAGTGACAGTCGGAATCGAATGCTTCAACCAAGAAACCAACCATCGAGTGCTCATCCAGCGAAAAGTCGCACGCCTCTCCAAGTCCCTCAACCACCCAGATCTAGTAAGCTGCTACACCCCCCACGGCGCCCAAGCCCCCCTTGAAGTCCTAAAATCCGGCCTGATCCGTCCCATAAAAATGCTCTTCCTCTCACCAATCATCTGCCTCCTCTGCCTCTACATGGCCGTCATCTACGGACTCCTCTACCTCCTCTTCACAACCATCACCACCGTCTTCACCACCACCTACGCCTGGCAACCCGAACTCTGCGGGCTGGCCTACATCGGCCTCGGACTCGGCTTCCTCATCGGCCTCGTCGTCGTAGGACGCATCTCCGACCCAACCGTCGTCCGCATGACACGCGCCAACAACGGCACCTTCGAGCCCGAGATGCGGTTACCAGCCTGCATCTTCTTCGCCTTCTTCATCCCCACCTCTTTCTTCTGGTACGGCTGGGCCGCTGAAGCAGGCGTACATTATATTGTCCCCATCCTTGGTCTCATCCCCTTCGGCTTTGGGATGATGGGGATCTGGATCCCGATCCAGACATATGCCATCGACTCCTTCCCGGAATTCGCGGCGAGTGCTATCGCTGCGTTGACGGTGTCGCGAAGCTTGTTTGGTGCTGTCTTGCCGCTTGCGGGGCCGGATATGTATCAGAGGCTGGGTCTGGGGTGGGGGAATAGTGTGTTGGGGTTTATTGCGGTGGCGATTATTCCCGCGCCGATGTTGATTTTTAGGTTTGGGGGGAGGATTAGGAGGAGGTATTCGCTTGTGTTGTGAGGTTGAGTTGGGTTGTTGTGGGGTGTATGTTTTTTGGGTTTGGGAACTGTTTATAGAGGAGAGGAAGCCTTGCATTGAGCGGGTGTTTTGGGTATATACGGAAAATTAAGGGTGGTTTTTGGGTTAGGTGTTATTAGCTTCTTTATGGAATAGTATAGGAGGATAGATAGGTAAATTAGGAATAGAGATAATTTTTATTAACAATAGTATAACAGAAATAGTCCTACTTATAAAGCCTTTAATATCTATAAATCACCGATAATATAACAAAAGAAGTGCGGAAAGACAAACTACCTCTTCTCTTCCTCTCTATTTTATTCTATCTAATCTTTACTTTATATTACTAACTTTTAGGGATAGAAGAGTTTCAATTATTATACTTTATTTAGACTCTACTAAGAGAAGTATCTGATACTCTCTTAACTTAGTATATCATCCATCTATCTCTACCTATCTAAAAACCCCCCTTTCCCTCCAAGGTACCTACCTACCTACCTACCTACACTAAACAAACCCCCCCCCCCC